ATGTATTTGTAATTATGTTTTAACATGGAGTATTGATGTATGCAATCAAAGCTGTAAAGTACTTCGGTACTTGTGAACTAGAGGGTACAGGCAGTTTGCAGAAGCCGTCTTTGGCTCGGTAGATCAGGCACTGAGATTTTGCCTGATCAATAACTGGATTTTCGATACCAAAACCAATATCGATGTTTAAGAGTTTTAACCATCCAAGAGATATATGTTTATCTCAGTTCTTTTTTTTTTTATTTTTTGAAGAATTGCCACCAAGATGTGTACTGAGCAGGACATTTTACAGTTTAAGAAAAAAAAAGTTGTCATTGCTCTCTGGTGAGCAAACTATATAATAATGACACTGCCAATATGTTTACATCACTAAATACAGTACATTTGTTAATTATATTAAAGTTAGTGTGGTAGATATAAATAAACTCCTTTCATTTACACAGGTAAGAGTAGCACGTCTAAGCAAAGCTTAAACTGACGTACTGTACAGAGCATCACTTTTCTGAGAAATGGATTAGTGAAGAGCAGATTTGAATTACAGTGATTTATGGTTCTTGCAGTCTTAAGACCCTTTAGACATACTACATTTGTTCGTGAAAATACATTTTGTAGCATTTTTCTTACTCAAGGCAATTTATTATTCATTTAGCACATTATCTCCATGTCCAATTATTCCTCTGACATGCTTTATGATGGCGATGGAAAAGGTTAAATTGCATATGGATACATGGTATCATGAATGCTATCAGTTACACCTTGTTGGCATCGTATCGCACCCCTTCCCTCTGTCAGCAGAGAGCGTCAACTGCTGACAGAGGGGAGCTGAGTGCTTTTTAAAGGAGATTTACATCAAATCCAAGCAGCGTTTTCTATGACACTCTAATTGTACTGATGTCTGCCTCTCCCAAAAAGGTCAGAGATGTGATGGGATTACATTTGGAATACTTCACTGTGATTAACACAGAGTAGCTCTTTCCTGCACTTATTTTAGTATTACTTAAAGAAGAAAATATGTCAGGACTATTCTTGACATTCAGAGAACATTTTTCCTGTTGTACCTAAATATTTTTGTATACAGAGGTAAAAATATCATAAAATGAAAGACGTAGCTGTATCTATTTACTGAATCCTTTCGTTGATATGAGCTAAAACAGAAATATCAGCAAACAATAAGATAATGTCCTCGCAGAAAATTAGGTAACGACAATTTTCGCTCAAATCTTCATATTGAGCTCCTTTTCCAACTGGCTCATTATTCTTTCTCTTGCATTACAAGATAAAATAAATTAGTAATCTTTCCACTTTTGCTTCAGTAAAATCCTGTTGAGCAGTCTAGGTATTTATAGAAATATAATGTTTCACTCTGGAGAAAAGTGGAGAAAAGCTTCCTTTGACTTGATATTCATTATGTACATGATTAATTACTATATAGCCTCAGACTATCAAAAGATAGTCAGAGATATCATATTTTACATGTATTTAATTAGTGTGCACTTTGAGACCTGTGCCCTGGCAGGCCCAAATGCTGAACTTTTTATGGGAAGAATTTCAATTACATACTCTCTCTCAATCCGAGGGCTGGGTCTATGCATAGAAGAAGTCATTAGGGCCTTTTCAATTGGTCTCAAGAGATGCCCGAGGTTTCACAGATGAGACGGAATCAGAGTCGCACAATCCCATAGATCAGGGCGCCCCTGCTCCACAGCTGTAAAATTAGGGCAATATATCAGAAAGAGCTATCAACACTTATGTCAACATTGTTTCAAAAGAAATATGAGGTATTTTTTCCCCAGTGCTTATGTCCTGTTGTTTAATAGATTTGCCTGAGAAACGATGGCAGGTCTATGTCTCATTAGTGTCATGAATTTTATTTTTGATATCATTCTGTTTCATATGCCTGATATAAACCACGCATTCATTTCCCGGTCTCATTGGAATCTGTTAGATAAAGCACTGTAATTTATATTGCTCCTGCATCATATGCTTATGCATGAGCAAACGGGACAGAACCATCAAAGTGACCATATAATATATGGAAAGTACTGCAGAGTCATGAAATATTACCCACAAAAACAAGCAGCACATTATGGGCCCAGCATGAGATGCATGTTTTAATTCCAAAACAGTAATTCATTTCCATAAAAACAAATACAATATGCTGATATTCTCATCTGTTATCGCACGTGAAGGTCATTAATAACGTGAAATGCCCCTTGAGACCTTCACTAAACACAGATACACACACAGACATGTAGACACAAATATGTGTTATTATGGCTACTGCCATGAACATTGCAAAAAAAATTAATATATATATATCTTGCTGAAATTTAAAAAAGTTGTAAATGAATTTAGAATGTTTTTGAAAAGACATCATCTTTTTTACACATACTTCACACATTTAAAAAAAAAAAACAACAACATTCAAATAGGCTACATAATAACACAAATGACTATGTGATATAATACACTGTAGAAACATTGCCAAAGCAAAAACAAAAACCGCTTTCTGTCAACTGTATTTGGAAAAAAAAATAAATGTGTGAACAATTTTAATTGGCATACAAGCTGATAGGAAGAAATAGAACAGAAGAAAGGAAGAAGTAATGGAAGTAGTGTGGACTCATTCTGGACCATCTGTAATGGTTTCATGCACAGTGAAACCCTTGCAGATGGTCCAGAATGTGGTGGCGCGTCTGGTTTTCTATCAACCTAAAAGGGCGCACCATACAGGCTTATGCTCCTTCTCGGCCATTGTGTCCCTCCAAGGAACATCGTCTGGCGTAGCTTTCCCTGTGCACACGAGGCAATCTCAGTCCAGACTGTACTTGTTTGCGGTTCCCCAACGGTGGAATGAGCTACTGAAAGCCATGAGAGCAGGGGCGTCGCTCTCTATCCTCAAGAATCTTTTGAAAACTCATCCGTTCTGAGAGCTCCGTTCTGAGAGCTCCTTTTCTAACAACCTAACATGCCTAACTCGCTTTTACTGTGCACTTCTTTATCTGAACTCCCTGCACTTTGTCTTATTGGACAGATTTAGTGCTTGGTGCTTCTCCAAGGTTTTCTACTGTAGAGAATGTAAATGCAAATGTAAAGGCTAATTGCATTTCCTGCCGTTATTGTGTTTTAATGAGTTTTTCATTTGAACACAGGAGCCGTTTGATTAAGTTGCTGGATAAATTTTTGTGTTGTAAACCACAATATACTTTATGCTTTCATGGTATGCAGCTCAATTGTGGTTGTTTTCAGTCAGAAACCCAAGGAGCATGAATTTTTAGCCCTGTTCAGTGCTGCACACCTCAAGAGTAACCAACTCCCTACTGTTCCACTGCGCTACCTAATATTATATTAATAACATTTGGACACAAAGCAGTGATTACCTCAGCAGCCCAAAGCAAAGGCAAAACCCAAAGCACAACACAATGCAGCCAGTAATACATTTTCCAATGATCTGCTGTAAATGGGCGCACAGGTCTGTGATAAGAAGAAACAAATATCATCTCTGGTCCCTGCTAAATCAGCAGAACAGAGTTATTGATCTGGCTCCTCACATTGCCAATAGAATTTTAAGTCCCCTTGGTAGCGAATACGGCTTGCTCGGGGTATTGATGTCATTATCATGATTTCAGTACAGCAAAAGGGTGGTCACCTGCAATTCCCCGAGCCTCAGAGCACACCACAGGCTCAATTAGAATGTCTGCTCTCCAGATGTTAACGGCAGGGGCCAGAATTAACTCTTGACTCTGCTGCAAGGGGCTGGTTAAAATGGCAAAGAAATACAGATACACTGCATGATAGCAGAAACATTTTTTTTTCTTAAAAAATCTAATTTCAGACTTAGTTTTGATTAGCACTTTGGTATTTTCTGGGTCTAAAATTATGGAGGCTGCAGTGGTAATCATTAATGAGACCTTTGATGGCATTTTGGGTGCAAATTCAAGAGGCTCATCTAGCTACTCAGCATGTAGACCCTTTCAGAGAAGGAGCAAGCTATGATCAATAAGTCGGGACATTTGAGTGAAACACACAGACTTTGTTTAGCCCGTGCAAATGCGCCCCACCGGACGCCAGTGGGTTTGGGGGCGGGGGTGAGGTGAAATCACATGAGGTCTGTGTGCAATTGTAAAACAAGGCAATAAATCAATCAATAAATCAATAAGGCTTTATCTGTATCCATTGGTATTTTACTGCACGATTTTTTTCCCCTGCACATATACATTTAATTTATCTCCAAATTTCTTTTTTTCTTTTTTTTTTTTAATTGCAAGAAAGCACTTATATACGTAACACCACGTGAACACACACACACGTGCACGCAAACCCACACACACACACACACACACATATGCACACACACACACACACACATGCAGGAGCTGTTTTGGATTTGATCACAACTAGCAGGGACAATGTTGAAGAGCAGTTAAAGCACAAAAGTGTCTGTAAATGAAAGATTCATTCAGAAACCAAGGAATGTATTCCACTGTTGGCCAGTTATTGACTAGACAGGTAATACTGCCTTATGGTGAGGGGCCTTTTTGGATTCTTCCATTGGCCTACACACATTCATACAGATTATCTGAGCTCTTGAAAAAAGACACTCAGAACAGTACACACAAAGTGCACAAATCATCTCTTTTACACTATACACATAGGACAGGACACGGGAGGTCAGTGCTGAGTTCAAAGCAGCGGAGTTGGCCCTGACTTTACTGTTAGCGGACTAAATAGCATCGCTCCATGGTTACAGCAGTTCACCATTATTTTTGCTGTTAACTTCTTTGTTGGTGAATTTGAATGTTTTACTCCTTGAACGTGAGTCAAGAACATTTGCTTTTGGATTATGGAGAAGTCTGTGCTCCACATGTACACAGTGTGTTGGCATTTTTGCATTTAATACCTTCTGCGGTGTACTTCGATTGAAAATGCTAGTAATGATGTATTTAGGCACAAGAGTGTTCATTGGTTGTTAAATGTGTTTCTGTTTTACCCCTTGACAGATGCAACAATCGGACCCAGTGCATTGTGATCACGGGTTCAGACGTCTTCCCTGACCCCTGCCCAGGAACCTACAAATACCTGGAGGTCCAGTATGAGTGTGTGCCCTACAGTAAGTATGACCCTTCTGTCATGAATTGAAAACTTTCCCTCGTTCCCTTTCCCCCACCCTCACATCCTCAGTTTCTCTCTTCTTCTCTGCCCTCTCTGTCTCTCTCTCTCTCTCTCTCTCTCTCTCTCTTTTCGTGACATATCATATCCTGTCCCATTTCTTCCCTCTGCCTTGTTCAGACAGTCTGCTCTCCTCGTCTGCAACACCTTCCAGCACCATTTTCCTCTGTCTCTTCTTCCATCTGTGTCACACCATGAACTTTTCATGAAATATGACCTGTAAAACCCTTTGGTCCTTTTCTGTACTGCCTTTATTATTGATGTGCTCACCGTGTTTCCAGCGGATCAACGAGCCTGGTTATGTGGTAGCAGAACATAGGGAGGGTAGAGGAAGTCGTGCTGACTCTCCGTGATGGCAAGCGGGTGTTTCATTACTCAAGCCGTGTGCGGAGAAGTCTATCAGGCGAAAACACAGCTCACCTCGATGGCTTAATACACATCCATACAACAGGTGTTGAAATATGTTAACAGATGTTTCATTATGTAACTGAACAGAATGGCTCCACTCGTAAGTCAACAAGGTAATATTTCATCTAAAGAGATAGTGTTAACATTTTGTCTCCTTCGTGGATGCTAAAATATTCATTGCCATTGAGCTCCCAAACAATCTTTAGATTGCCCTTTGCATTAAAATTCCCCTTTGTCCTTTAAGCTGCCATGTTCATTTGCAATTTGTGAAGGAAATTCCCCCGTGTAACCTTTACAAACTGATTAATGACAAAGATTTAGATGAATTGCCAGAATCACTAATCAGGTGGAATTGAAATAATTAGAGTGGGAGTGATGGGAGGATAGTATTTGGCAGCTCTTGTAGATTCAAATGAGTGTTTTACACACTGATGATGCTTTAAGATTTGTTTCAGTTTTGAATGCACTGAAACAGGAAATTAAGCCTGAATATGAATAATGCACTTTTATTCAACTCTACTTTTTTATATTTAACACATCACTTCTACATTGCTCATTATCAGTGTACCCGTCCAAGCTCTTACCCTCAGTGCTGAATCCGTATGCATTAGTGAACATCATTAGATGGTGAAACTCATTACAACTTAAAGGTTAACCTATCCAAGGCTTTGAGGACCTGTAATTAAAAATGGAATGAGCAATAATGAGTATTTGAACCACCTTATTGAGCAAATCCAAATCCTGTAGCCTCTGCCTTAAATGCCTAACTGCTTGTTTTTTCTTTTTCTTTTTTGTTGTTTTTATTCTTACTTGCCTCATAGTTAAGTGAAGTATTGATCCTATGTCTTGCTGTGTTACCTCAAACCTTAATAGTAGGATTAGCCTCAAGGTGCACTCATGTCCACCCACTGTTATGATTGTCTTTTGCCTCCCTCTTGCACCAAGGAGAGTGTGGTGAAAAATAAACTTCTGCCCAAGGACTCCCAGTTCTGGTGAAGTCTGTCTAACAAAAAAAAAAAAAAACCAAACAATTCCAAACACGTACTCACTTCACTCTAAGCAGTTTCAAACATGCATGTCTGTAGCCCCGTCTTTTTGCTTCTCAAGGTCCATGCCCAACCAGAATAGGACCAAGAACACAGAATGTATCCTATCGCAACTGCCCTGGTAAGTGCTTAGTGTTCTCCCAGTCTGATCCAGTCCACACAAGCCCAGTCCAGCCTTTCCCACTCAAGTCCTGTTGTAAACTGTGATAGATTGTGATTTATAGGCAAGTTCCGTGTCTTGTTGCTTTCCTCCTACCAATCCTTTGTCTCCTCTTTCCCAAAATAAGAATCCATATACCCCAGATCATTTTGTAAAGTCAGACTGACGCAGAAAAAAGGCAATCATAGGGGAAGATTTACTGAGCTTTTCCACACCAGAGTAAACCCTTACTGCAGTTTTCAGATGGGATAGCAAAGACCTTAGCACAGTTTTCTAGTTTTCTGATGAAATAGATCATATGCCAAATGCCACGATTTGTGATTAAAAACACTGCAGTGAATCAGGAGCTTAGGATCCCCTGGATTTGCTGGGATACAAGACTTGAGAAGTTGTTTTGCAAGAAAACGTATTAAATCCCCATTAAGCTGATCAGCGACTGGACCGCAGACAGTGTCCTCATTTTGACTAGTAACCACTGCCCCTCAAAGTCTGTCCGCCCCGTGAAATACAGCAAGCAGTTTAATAACATAATGTGATAAACAGTTGCTTTTTTGGCACAGACCGAATGTAATATGGTATTTCATTTATTCATTCTATTGTCTATGCCTTTGCATAATCACACAAGCAATTTAGGATTTTTCACTTCTGTGCAAGTGGCCTTTGCAACAAGTTGCCTACATTTCCACCATTCCCATCCTTTTGGCTTCATAATTTGGTTCTTGTCATGAACTGCCCTCATTAGCAACATTATCTTCATGTTCCAGCCAAGGAAGTAAATTTTGCCTTCACCTGGCACTGACTCACCTGCTGAATTGGCTCTAGTAATAGCTTGAATTGGGCAACATAAAAGCCTAGACATTTCTTCATTAAGCCGGTTCTGTGCAAGCTATTTTAAAATGGTGACGAAAAAAAAAAAGTAAAAAAAAAAAAAAAAAAAAAAAAAAGTTGCCATCCCTGTTCTGCCTTTATAAAACTGTAGAATTGTGCTGGTGGGCATAAACAGTTCTCAGTGCTTATATTTTCATTTTTCAACACATGCTCATGCAAGTAAACCCTCAGCTCCATGTGGCAGCGGTGGCCAGATTATGAAAACTGGAGTTAAGCTGTACCAGCATGAGTCTCGGGTCCCCTTTGGGGTTTTTGTTTTTGTATTCACTTTTATCCCTTATTTTTATTCAGTGTAGTTTACATAATGCTTTAATTCAACACTGGAGCCACTAACTGAGCCTGCAGTTGACTGGAGACGTCCATATCAAGACGGAACACCTGATTAATAAAAGTGATAATTAATAGTCTTAATAGTTTGATCAGTAATAGTTCGTAGAAATCAGGAATTCCCTAGAAAGTGTGTTGAGTGGGAGATGATTAGGGTCTGTAGGGTTAGTGTGGGTTGGGATGTGTCTCATGTTTGTTTGTTTTGATGTTGCTAAATTAAAAGTGACTGACTCTCTTCCCTGTGCAATCTGCAGGAAACCTCCGTGGCTATCTGACTCACTCTCTTCATCCTCTGACTGATTTCTGATCACACTGATTGCTATTTCAATTTTTACACTTCCACTAACGCCATCAGGTCTTCCGTCATATGTTCTCCTTTTCTTTCCAGATTTCCTTCACGCCATCTTTCTCTGTCCTCTTCTCGGCTCCTCTGTTTCATGTGGCTGAGGCAGCTTCTGAGAGCTCAACTGCTATTAATTTGTTTGCTTCCTATCCATGTCTGATCTCTTAGTTAGCTGCAAGACATTTGTATTTCTTCTGCAGAATGGCGTGCGTTTATTTACAGATCCTTCTGAATCTCTTTTTTTTTTTGCCACTGAAGCCTAGGTCAGACTCAACAATTACAACAGATTTAAATTCCGATATGAACCGGCACTAATTGGAGCTCGAGGGTTGCAGGATTCAAGAGGAACCTAATTTATGATTGCTCAAATTATCCCATGGTGCAAAGCGGCCTGAAATGTATGCATTTAGTATTTCAAAGTACGAGCCATCAGACTGAAATCTGAGAAGGACGCCGCAAAAAACCAATAGAAGCTCGGATCAAGGGCAAAAGAACTGCTGTATGCAGCCTGTTCTTATGAGATTACCATCTCCACTGCTTCAATCAGTTACTGTATTGTTGAAAGAATGAATCTCATATAAAGTTATGTCAAATAGCAATGTGCCCAAATCAGTCCACATTAATTTAGAAGGTACCATTATGTCAAAGAAGTTTCATAACATTTAAAATCAATAACCTACATTCTCTGTTAAATAGCTTCAGTACCAGGTAATAAAAAGCGGCTGAACATTTTTGTAATAATATTTTTTCTCCAGCTTTTGTGTACACATAGTGGGAAGAAGTGTTATTGAATGACTGCATTTACTTTTCTGTGATGCCCGTCTTTGTTCCCTCGCATTTTGTCAACAACGTGCTAAATGAGCAGCGAGCAGAGCAGTTGTTAAGCTGAACTGTCTCCACCAGTCAATAGTCTGACCTGGGCTTTAGACTAACCTGAGAAATGTCTCTTCTGAAGAATATTTTGCATCTTTGTAGACTTGTCTTAAATGTTCAGTCTTGTTGTTACAGTTAAAAATAAGCTGGTTCTTTTCATGCAATGCTAATGCACATGGTGTTCTTTTAAAAAAAAAAAAAAAAAAAAAAAAGAAAAAAAACTTTTTAAGTCTTGTGATATGTTTTATATAAAGCCACCACTGAAATGTCAGGTTAATGGACTGCGTAATGATTCCTAGTGTAGTTGCCTTCAGAGTGCCTTGTTTGAATGTGCCCGTGTTGGCTAATTTATCGCAGATTTGTATTGGAAAGGGCAAAATGACTCAACAAAATTAAACAGTGTTGTTTAATATGGAATTAAATACATGTTTCAACAGTGTGTGCGCATAGTCTATATTAATGTATTTTGCTCCAGCGATTTACACTGATTACCTGCTCCCTTGATAAGGCCACAGTTAGGTTGTTTTATTCTCTGTGCATATGGCTGAGTTAGATTAGTGTTATGCAGAGACTTGTTGTTAGTAGTCAAGTGTGACATTGGTCCATTATGGAATTACATTTTTTTTTATTGTATTCATTTACTTTTAAAGATATAGATGCAGCAAAAATATTAGTCTACTATTACTCTACTACTATTACTACTAAAAAGAAAAAAGAAAAACTAACAGCTGTCTTTTTCACAGACTCCGGCCTGGTTCATGGTGGTGGGTAGATTTAAAGTTTGAGCATCTTAGTTTGGCTTTTCAAACAAACCAGGGTCACGCAAAGTGAACTTTTATTTAACATGCATCATTGAAACGATGCAGCAAATCACACTTTCCTGCTGTAAAATCCACAGGACGAAACAACAATGGCTCAGTAGAGTCTCTGAAAATGTGTTTCTTAATCTATAATCCTATTTACAATATTTATAACTAAAAGGAGATCATTCTATTGACTTGTCTGTTATTTCCAAAGTGAATCCCAGAATCGCTTTGCTGTGTATCAAACAAAAATCAAATATCCTTTACTTGTGAATGTCAGATGTTGAACCTGACTGAAGTCGCCATCGATGATATTACATAGTCACAGGCAGTTGGCAGTCTGTCAAATAAAAAATCCATCCACCACTGTGCTATAAACCAGTTGTGACGATTGGTCATGATCACAAATGTGATCAGACCATTCTCGATATTCTAATCTGACCCCTTTTTTTTTTTTTTAAAGACAGGTCGTTGGCGGCTGTGTGTCGACTTTCTCTAAACTTCCCTGCTTTCTCTAAATAGGTGTACCTGTCTTTGTACATGTCTCATAACGTGTTTCTGCATATGTAATCGTAGCGATGACAGTTAATTCATATTAATCTCTTTTTTTCCCCTTGCACCCCTTTCATTCTCTCTTCCAACGCTTAAAATAGAAGTGGAGCAAAAAGGTAAATAACAGACACGATCCAAACCCTAGCTCCTTGTTTTGTGGCATCTGGTTGTAAACTACCTATTTTCCCATGGTGGCCCCTACAAACCCATCGCAGACGTTAGCTATAGAACCCCCCAGCTGTAACGTTAACAGCAACAAGAGGAGTAAGGCTGGCCATAAAGAAAAAAGACAGCACACAAGCAGCCAAAAGATGTAAATGGGGGTGTATTGGCTGCAGTCCATAGGGGCTTCCTCCCCTCATTCTCCCTGGGTGCTTTTTCTACTCAGCAGAATCTCATATTGCCTGGCTTCCAAACCCTTTTCCATAGCATGCCATGGTAACGGTGTTTCTTGGCCCTTTTTTCAAGCTATTGCTTTCTACTGTCCCTTTGCTCCCCAAGCCCCCCCCTCCCCCCCTCTCTCTCACTCTTCTCCCCATTATTCTCACCTGACCACTTGCTGCTCTTTTCTCTCGTGATTCTTATGCCTCCTCAACAACCAACACACCTCAAGAGACCCTTAATGAAAGTTTTTTAAATTTTAATGGTTGTGACATTTGCACCACTCCGTAATGACAAGCCTCTCAGGTGTATACCCTAGAAAAGGTGGTGTAACCGAGACACATCTAAGTACACACAAACATTTTGCAGACTCTGCCGACTCCTGCTCTCTCATAACCTCTCCCGTCCGTTGCCATGTGACTTTAGTTGTTGTTTACAGGACCAATTGTTTTGTTCAGTTTTGTTTCTGTTCTATTTCCCCTCATTTGTGTTCTATTCCCAACAGTAAATGTCTGAGGCCAAGCTTCTTTTTGTTTCAGACTACTTATATACTTAAACATTATGCTTAATAACTTTCCTATTTCTTTTTTTCTTTCTATGCACAAAACCAAAATCCTTATGCTGCTTGTGAATATTGGCTATAGCTGTTAGTTGTGTTTTGGCCACTCTTTAATGTGTGTTTGTCCCCACTCCTCGTGGACAACCTGTAAATCAAAATGAAGACATTAGAGATTTTTTGTCGATATTACATCTAGTTTCACATGGTCTCATTTTTCACATGTTAACCTGTGCCTGTTTTTTATTCTACTCTTCTCCCATTACTAGTTTTTCTTTGTCCTGGGACTCTGAAAGCTGTCGGTGATCCTTCCTTTCTATTTGAAGCGGAGCAACAAGCTGGTGCCTGGTGCAAAGACCCACTGCAAGCCGGCGACAAAATCTACTTTATGCCGTGGACTCCTTACAGGACAGACACTCTCATTGAGTATTCCTCCCTGGATGACTTCCAAAACGCCCGGCAGACCATCACCTACAAGCTGCCCCACCGGGTGGATGGGACTGGATTCGTGGTCTACGACGGGGCCGTGTTTTTCAACAAGGAACGCACGCGCAACATCGTGAAGTTCGACCTGCGGACTCGAATCAAAAGCGGCGAGGCGATCATCAATAATGCCAACTACCACGACACGTCCCCCTACAAGTGGGGTGGAAAAACAGACATTGACCTGGCGGTAGACGAGAACGGGCTGTGGGTGATCTACGCCACAGAGCAGAACAACGGCATGATGGTTATCAGCCAGTTGAACCCCTACACGCTACGTTTTGAGGCTACCTGGGACACGGCCTATGACAAGCGCTCAGCCTCCAATGCCTTCATGGTTTGTGGAGTACTGTATGTGGTCCGCTCCACCTATGAAGACAATGAAAGCGAGGTCAGCAAGAGCCTGATCGATTACATTTACAATACCAAACAGAACCGTGGGGAATACGTTGACATCCACTTTCCCAACCAGTACCAGTACATTGCAGCTGTGGATTACAATCCGCGAGATAACCAGCTCTATGTGTGGAATAATTTTTACATCCTAAGGTACAATCTGGAGTTCGGCCCACCTGATCCAGCACATGGTAAGAGCCCAGCAATCCCACCCCCACCTCCCCCCCTATCACTTCTCCTGCAGACAATAATGTTAAATTGCATTGCTGAAATTGTGATTTCAGTTGCTGTCAAGTGCACTTTGATATTCCCCATCTATGTATCAAGTGTCACAGTCGACTGATTTTTAATTTAGAATCTAATATGTGCTAGATATGTTACGGAAGCTTTGGAGTGTAGGAAAGCATCTCCGGGGGTGAAGCGAGTGGGGCTCTGTGGTAAACAACACCTCGAAGCCAGTTACTATATCATAAGGGATCAGTATCGTGGGGATTTGGGGAGGTTTCCGGGTGTTCAGTGAGTCTCTGGTACTAAAGCTCGAGGGACCCCTGCTAGCATTTTTTTTTTTCGGAGACTGTAAGACAGGGAGAGAGAAATATACCCTCACCTCTGGAAACATACATGCCTGGACAGGTGCAAAGTCTTGCCTGGGGCAAGGTTAGATCATTCCCCCAGTGATGCTGGAACTCCAAATCTCCATCGGCCATTAAAAAAAAAAAAAAAAAAAACACACTCTGTAGGCGGAGTATAAGGATTCATGGTTCTGTCTAAGAGAGAAAGAGATGGTAGACACAAGGGAGAAGGATCAATCATCCAGGGTCATACCAGCAGTGTATGTTTTTAATTTAGCTGTCAAGAGCTGAGGGGATGCTAGCCTAGGCTTGCGATAGTCCTTACACTGAGACTATAATAACAGTAATTATCCTAATCCCCTCCACACCCAGAGTTCTAAGTCCACGTAATGTTCAACACAGTTAGTGATGAGCCACGGAGGTCATGCAACTTTTCCCCAGATTATCCAAGAGCTCAATATTTATTAATGTGTTTGCTCGTCCACTTTCGCATAGATAGGACATGGGCTTGGGCGGCTAAATTGGGTTCAGCCAGTGGAACAGCATCAATCTTGCCACACCACAGCGAGCTTTACAGCAACAAAGTCCAGGTTTGAAAACAGAATTAATATGTAGAGAGTAAAATACTGCAACAACCATAAGGAGCAAGATAAAAAAAAAAAAAAAAAGTTCCTTTTTTATATTTCTCCAACTCGGAATAGCGTGTTTGAAGTTAGAAGATTTTTAAAATTGAATATTTGCATGTAACAAATAAATTTAGAACAGCTCAGGAATATGCCACAGACAAAATATGGTCTCCTTATTTTAGTCATGTCCGAAAAATAATTTCACGCACATAGACAGAGATTTTCAAATGAGCCAATTTTAACCAGTGTCTGTAAAAATGGTCATAATATCACCTTTTCTGCTATCTAATAACAATAAATTTGAGCATGTCTTTACATGCCATTATGTGTTTATATGCAGTTAACTGATTATTAAGCAGCCAAGCAACAGCCTTCGCAACGGCCTTTATTTTCAGCTTGGCTGTTATTGATTCTCGGAATAAGCTGTGTATAGACAGGCTTCACGCTCAATTGATTAATTCATTTGGTGAATGGACGCTGATTACCAATAGCAAAAAAAGAGGCTTTAAAAGGATCCGCCCCGAAATAAGAATACATTCCACTTATCTTCACCTGTTGTGCCTGCGTCCATTCGTGTGCACGAGAAACTTACTCACCCAGTCAGACCTCCCAAAAGCAACCAAAAGGTACCCACGTCACTTCCTGCCCAGTATGTTTAGAGACATGCTCTTCCTGAAATACTGTATTTGCTCCAGTATTCACACATCTTTATTTTAATGTCAACAAGGACTCTGTTCTCCCTTCTTGACAAATGAGACGTGAGCCTGGCCCCTGCTGCTGACTAATGTATGTTGAGTTGCAGTCGATGGGTGCAGGGGAGAATGGTCCAGGATGATCATCAAGATGTCAATAAACTTGTCCTCCCACATGGCTGATGTTGGCACATAAATGATGGCACTTTTTTCTGGCTGTCACTGGACGCCCTCTCTGTGATTTCTTCATGTCTGCTTCACTAAGCACTGAAACGAGCTATCAGAATGCTTTTGTGGTGTTAAAAGTTGAAGTAATGTGTTTGAAGCAGCGCTCTGCTAAAGAAAAAAAAAATGAAACGATGGAAAACTGAGAAAAGAAAAGAATATTTCAGCTTTGCTCAAATTATTGCAAGCACGTCATGTGAAAGCTTAGCAGATTAACATGCAGAAAGCATTGTTAATACAACAGAGCATGGCTAATTATTAATGTAGATGCTAGAGCTGTGTTAATTGTTTGACTTTTTTCTTCAAAAGAAGAAAAAAAAGGATCTGCAGGTTTTTAATTTAACCACAGATTTTTCTTCTTCAAGAGAATTTCAAAGCATGCACTGAGGATGAGTCAACAATGTAATTGCGGGGAGCGAGACTGATGCTGTATGCATTTGCCATTGTGCGCTGCACTTCCTACTTCCTTTTTTTTTTTTTCTTCAAGTGCACAAACAAGTCTGTCACATGATTCGCTCCGTCATGGAATGCAATCACATCAAAGTGATGTTGAGAGCCTGTGTGGCAGACAGTTGGGTTCTTGTCAAGTCCAATAACGTTGCTCGTGTCGAGGCAAGATCATCTCTTGTAGGATTATGGAGGAGTGGATGGGGTCACATCCAACAGGCGGCTCCACTGGAAGTGGACATTAAATGGGTCAGTAAGTCCCTCTTTTGGCTTTGACCAACAGCACAATAATCCACTCATTTAACCGTGGCTCCATGCCGGTTTTCCGTCTTGCATATAGGAGGTAATAGAAAGACATATTCCTTTGTCGCATATTGTAGGTGAGATGATTAAATTGATTTAAATGAGGTATTCCCAGAGAAAACTCATTATGTACCCATTTCTATGGACCGTTTATTCATGCCAAGCTCTAAAATGTGGCCTCAAACCACTGAGTAAGCATATCAAAAGCTATTTTTTTACCAGAAGTATGCACAAACAGACTTTATTCTCTGCCTCGATGGGACACAGGTGAGCCTCGGAAACCTTTTATTTATCCCTTGTCGCAAAATTACATTCTGAATCACTTCCGTATAAAAGCCCCCGGGCTGCTCTTAACACCCACGCAAATCAAGACCTCCTCTTTAATTGTTGAAATGTCAATACATTTGCATACAGTTTCAATCTTTGCAGCACTCTCAAATTATACATTTGCAAGTGGGGATTGTGAGGAGGAGAATGACCCAATTTGTTTGAAATTATAAGGTACCGTCACTGAAGCGACTTGCCAATTAGCTTACAAAACTCTGCATGTGGTCAAAACAATGCCCTATAGTTGTGTGTTATGAAAGTGCTTTACAATGCAAAAATGCTCAGCTGTTACAGATGCTATTGAGTCATACGCATTAGCAGTCACCCCAGAGAGCCTACCTCTTATAGTCTGATGAATATACAACTCTCAAATAAGCATCACCATGATTCATCCCTGTCTTCTGCTGTGCCTACATGAGGTCGACTTGTGCACGGGAACGTTTAGAGAGAAAACAGAGACACAGAGAGAGAGAGAGGGAGAGAGATGGAGATGGAGAGAGCGAGATATGAGAGAGAGACATCAGGCTTCCACAGCCATCTCAGGTGGTCAGGTAAAATGGCAGAGACTTCTGTCTCCTACATGCTCGGCAGTGGCACAAGAGCAGGGATCAGGATGTATTAAAAAAACGGCCAATTTGTTTGTTTGCCTTGACAACAACTACCCACCCCCCACCCACCCAACCCCCTCCCCAATCCCCTGTCAGCTGCCCAAGTGGACACAGTTGGTGTGAAAGGAGAGGGTATTGATGTGGAAAATCACCCTTTTTGTTTTTGTTTTTCTGTCGTCCTGTCATATTCTCTTTCTCGTTGTTTCTTTCTCTGTGTGCTTCCATCTTATTGTCTCTCTCTTTCATTATCTCTCTATTGCAGTCAGTCTTGCTGTTTCTGTCTTTCTTCGGTCAATATCTGTCTTTTTTTTTCTATTTTCCCTCCTTCTGCCTGTAGACTGTCATTGTTCTTCTTAAGCCTCAATTATGCTCACTTGCAGAGGTACACATGGACAGCTGCGGACAACACGGACACATAGTTGTTTTTATTATATGTCTTTCAAGTCTGCTTGGAGGAGCGCATGTGCAGTTAGTGCCCTTGGAGCTTCAAGTACACCCTCTGATGACGAAACTTACGTCATGTAGACCCTAGCAGACCCTCGTGTACTCACCAACCCAGAAAAAATAACTAGCTTCAGTCTTCCTCTTCCATGATCATCCATGAGCTGTGGCTTACATCTGGAAATTTGCATTTCTGGGCACGCATGTCCGCACATGTACTCGTCTGTTTGGCTTCTCTCCTGAGGTCCGGCTAAAGTCCAGGTCAGACTGTTCAAATCATGCCCAATGAGAGCAGTGCACACTAAATGACAGGATTTAAAGTAAAGCCTTAGCTGTGCCTTTGGGGAACTGTGCACACACAACAACAGCACCAAGATGGCCGTCACACACATGATTATCAGGGATCAGAAATATTTCTAGATATTTTTTCACAAGCGGAACCAGCTAACAAAGTTTATATTTAATGGATATTATTACACTGAAAACATTTTGCATATACGTTGCATTGAGACAGACTTCTTGAAAAGGGGAGTTGCCTCTGATATAAACTACCTCAGTTAAAGTTGTTATTATAAGCAACTTCTTCCTGGTTCTTCCTCACGTTCTTCCGTGTTTATCTGAACTCCTGTTGGTTTTAAACACCTAACTGCACACGACAATCTGCAGCCAACAGCTCCAAATGACTTGAAAGATCTAAAAATGAGCAGACCTTTAACTTGTGGCGGGCCTTTTTGTTGGTGGCACAGCAGGGACAGACTTAATTCAATATGTTCCTGATTTTTTGTATAGCACTTAAATAACATTTTCAGCTGTGTTCTGTGTAAACTCTGAGATGCTAAGCCACTATCCTCAACACAAGGGCTCTTTCTTTACTGCTGGACTACAGTATCTCCATATATGCCACCCTCCATTCTTTATTCCTCCCTTGTAGCTTTTTTAACCACCATTTT